AGCCCTTAGTTACGTTCCTTAACCGGGGGCTGGGCTGGGGGGGGGTCAACAGCGGTTAAGCTGATTGCAGGCCACGTGTTATCACGTGTAATTACCCTGCTGCAGAGGGGCGTTCTGGCTGAGGGTTTAGTTTTGTGTGAAGGATTTGATTCTTGCATGCTGCCCACGAGTTCAGTACCGTCGGTTTGGGCTAACGATCTTGGGTTGAGGATGTTGAACGGGACTTAACTACCAGCAGCAGAGGAACTTCTTGCGCTGCTTTCTCAGGGGTCGTGCTTGCGCTGGGCTCGTGGAGCTTGGGACCACCCTGCCGCAGTCTGGTGGCGTGTGTCGGTAGCACGCCTTTGTCACGGCCGAGGAGGGGAGCGTGGGAGGGCGCTGACACTAGATCTGCCTCAGGAACCGAGCCCCCGCAGTGCCCAGCACTCTCTTTTCTCTTCTTCCTCAGAATGGTTTCAGTTCTGTACAACCCACGCCGTTACAAACCACGCAGGCCGTTGAAGGTAAGAGTCTGTCAGTGCCGTGGGTGTCCTGAGTCTCTGGTACTGCTCCTACTCTTTGCTTTGGGTGAAAAGCTTTATTTGTGCTAACAGCAAATCCTTCCCCTGCTGGACTGATTGCTGCCACTGAGATTATTTGCTTGCCTTGAAACGTTCAGCTTTCTGCTCGTGGATCCTTGAGGTCCTTGATGAGTCACTCCCTGCTGATAGAAATTTACCCGAATTTAGTTGTGAAAGGCACCTCACCTGGAGGCCTGGAAGCTCTTTGCGGAGCCAACGGCAGCGTTGGGCTAAAATGAGACGTAGAACTGCTGTCACAAGTGCGTGACTGGTTGGTGGCAGTGAGGGAAGCCCCAGATCTCGCATCTCCCTGTTCCTCTAGCTGAGCCTTTGCTGAATTGCCCTCTGGGAGCTGCTGGGAGCTGCCCCTAACCCTGAGCGACAGCTCCCAGGTGCTACAGGCCCCGCCGTCAAATCCGATTCCCCCTCTGCTCCCAGTATCACGCCTCTCAATGACGGGGTGTCTGCGTCGTCCTTGCTGACGACAGCCAGCCAACACTCGACAGCTCTGAGCAGCCTGAGCCACAGTGAGGAGCTCCCCAGTACGACCACCACCCAACTCAGCAGGTGAGCAAGCGTGGCGGGGGGATTTCTGGAGAAGCAGAACTAGAAGCAGGGCTCTAGGGCAGACCCCAAAGTCTGTCTCCTGCGGTGGGGAAGACTGAAATGGCTCATCCCATCCAAGCAGATGGGGAGTGGGATCTGGCCTGGTGCTACCACCGGTGACTCTTGGCTTCACAACCTTTTCTTCCTCCTTCCGCAGTACGTTACCCACCCAGCAGAACAGTCTGTCCTCATCCACATCCTCTGGGCGAACGTCAACTTCAACTCTTCTGGTGAGTCTAGGTGTGCTCTAGTGCCGTGGGACCCCCTTTCCTCCTTGGTTTGGAGAGGTCTGCTGGCGTGCCTGACCTCGGGGCTGCGACCAGCGGGGGCTGCAGTTGGGACAGGAGCTGCCGGGCTGCTGTTCGTCCCGCTGCAGTTTGGGTGGGTTATGTCAGAACACGGCCTGTGTACCTCTGGCTCGAAGCTTGTGATGCCCTGCCCGTTGCAGGGGCTTCTTTTGAGCCTGTAGCAGCTCTTGAAAGTGCTGCAGAGTCGCAGCCACGCGTCAGAGCAAAACCGGTAGCGGATGGAGTGTCACTGTTCAAACACAGACACTGCTGGAGCTGCTGCAGCACCGGAGTCCCTGGGTAGTGGCTCCTGCGGCAGAATAAATCTCCGTGCCGCAAAGGCGGTGTTCGGCCCCGCTTCTCCCAGCGAGCAGACCTGTTGGGACACAGCCACGCAAGGAGCTTGGAAGCATTCGGGGTTGGCTGCTGTCAGGGCTTTGGATTTAAGCCAGATGCAAAGCGGGTTTCTCTGTAGCCTGCAGCAGCCGAGTTCATTGCAGTGTCCAGGTGCAGACAGAGCCGCCCCACCGTCCCGATCGACAGCGTCCTGCAATGCTTCTGCACCGAGTTCCGTCTGCCCGGTCCCCTAACTCACTCTCTTCCCTTCCTTCCCTAGCACACAAGTGTGGAGAGTGAAGCAAGCCTCCATTCTTCTGCTAGCACTTTCTCCACCTCCTCCAGCACAGTGTCAGCCGCCCCGCCGGTCGTCAGCGTTTCGTCCAGCCTCAGCAGCGTCAGCAGCCTGGGCCTCAGCCTCGGCAGTAACTCCACAGTGACGGCCTCCACTCGCAGCTCCGTTGCAACGACATCAGGTACTTTCCTGGGTGCTGCTAAACACGGCGAGGGCCCTGGGGGCTGAGAGAGACAGCTGCTGCTGTTGGCCTCACTGTGGAACGGCTCCTTTCTCTTCCTTCCTCAGGAAAAGCCCCTCCCAATCTCCCTCCTGGAGTCCCACCGTTGTTGCCTAATCCGTACATCATGGCTCCAGGGTTGTTACACGCCTACCCGGTGAGTGGGCTGACTGGCTCTCTGCGGTGGTGGCATGTCACTAGATCCCTCCTAGCTCTGTCTTCAGCTGGCGGGGAGGGATGGAGAGTAGGAGAGAAACCAAAAACTCTTTTAACGTCAGCCCAGCAGGTCTGTCTTGGGTGGGAAGAGTTTGACCCTGCTCTTTTCCATAAACCAGCAGCAGAGGAAATCCCTGTGCCCGTGGGGGTAAATGTCTGTAATTCTGGTCACCCCAGAGCAGATCCTGCCTGTTCTCTACAGCCTCCCCAGCCTTTGGGGGAGCAGCACCCCTCGGTCAGAGCGCGGCTTGCGACGGCGTGGAGCTGTGTTAGCACCGTGGTGTGACAAAGGCCGAGCAGTTAAAGCAAAGGTGGCGACTGCCACACAGCCTAGGGGGGTGCTGCAGCCCTCTTCCAAAGGGGGGGGACAGCTCTCGCTGTTGGAATAACTTCTGGAGGAAAAGGGCCAAGTGCCCCTTGCGGTAGTGAACGCTGGCTGCCGGTGCCGAGGTGATGGTGTAGCCACCGATCCCCCGCTTCTGGCTTTATCTGGCATTTAGATAAATGTCTAATCTCAAATTAGGGAAGTGCCTGTGTCTAGTCCGCGTCCCTAACATTGTCTCCTGCTCTTTTCTAGCCACAGGTGTATGGATACGATGACTTGCAAATGCTCCAGACGAGATTCCCGTTGGTGAGTACCAAAGGCTGACGTGGACACGCCGCTTCCGCTGCTCTTAACGGCTCGTCGGCGCTGCGGGCTCTGGGGGCTCTGGGGTAGTGCTGGCAAAACAGGGTGCCAGGCGGCTGCGCCTCTCCGTGACAGTCACGAGGAGGG